ATATTAAAACACGTATTTCTTACAATAGTACTACCCTTAAACTTTATGGATGATTTTATGGATTTAATTTTATGTATTATACTTGAATAAATACGGTGCATTACATTACAGGTGTTTGAACATGTGTGACTGGTTAAATGTGTACACCTTACCAAAACAAAGGATTTGTGTACAACAATGTTGATTAAATACTTGGCCCCTCTATAAATGACATGGCCCTTCATGGCCCCTTGCTCAGAGAAATTCTAGATCTGCCACTGATCAAGACTGAACGGCCTGTAACAATAGACCCACAATCCCATACTGGTAGAGCACCACCCACAGTGTACCTTAAGGAATACAGTTAAAAACCTTCTCTAAGTCCACAAAACACTTGCAGACAGGATGGGCAAACTCCCATGACCCCTCGAGGATCCTAGTGAGGGTAAAGTCCTGGTCCAGTGTTCCATGGCCAGGATGGAACCTGTATTGTTCCTCATTGTACAACCATGGTATGAAAATCATACTCTCCAGTTTTAGGGTCTTATGCAACATGGTGTATAAGACATTAGAACCGTTGCTTGAAAGAATTATAGCCCTTCGCCTTTCATCTGACCTCAAGTGTACAAATACATAATTTATACCTCTCTGAATTTCACCAATGTCGTGAGCTATTTCTTCAAGCTTTTTCTTGTTTTTATCCATGGTCTCCTTGGTCTCCTCTGTGTACTTCAAAGCATCGGCCACTTTAGTTTCTGTCTCTGTAATAGCAGAATGTATTGAATTAGAGGCACGTCACACAGTAACACGTGAAATGATTAGTATGTGATAATGTTTCAAGGTAAATACCGTGTTGTTCTGAATGTAACGAAACGGTATCCTTGAAAATAAAGTCGCTTTGTGTCACCAGGTTTCCGAGCTGAGTGTTGATCCCAGCGACAGCCTAAAAAAACAACACAAAACTAAAGTCGGCTGTCAGAAAACAAACAAAAAACAAAGGGATTTTTAATAAATGTGAAGGAGCTTACATCTTCAGCCCTCCTGGACAAGTTGAAGGTGGTCAGTGAAGTGATGTTGGCATCGTCAATGTATTTGATGATGTTGTTGTAGACATTAGCAGCACTTATGGCTCTCTGGACAAAACCATTGGCATCACTTTCCTTTAGATCCCTGAGGGAGCAGGAGGGCAGATTTAACTGTCAGCTGTATATATTTATATTATAAATCATTTTTGCTGCTCGTAATAGTTGCAGGATGCAGAGTATAAAATACAATGTCAAAAATTGTATCTGATAAATTTTTATCATTGGCTGAATTATTGACATTTTTGTGTTTTCTGAGGTAATCTGGTAGCTACCCCTAATGGGTTTGGCTCCGAAAGAAGTGCATTAACTGTGTATTTCAGGTTTTATTTTTCAACTGCATGAACATGAACTACTGGACTTTGGAAACCTGACTCACAATGCTCATAATGGATATTAACCACAACAAAAAGGCTGCAACTCAGTCACTTTTACACACAGTTTAACAGCTAAGAGTTCTTCAGAACACAAACTGTGACAACTCATAACCTGGAGTGAGCTTGTCCTTTTTTAAAGGGATCCCCGAGTAGTTGTAACATTACACTTTATTTAATAAACATATATTTTAACTGTAAAATAAAGACTGTAAAATACTGTAGAATGTTTAGTTCTGTAAATTTTGAAAATTTATTTTAACACAGACGGAGCCATTTTATTTGCACACAAAGCATTCTGGGTAAATGNTAATAAATGTTTGTGGGTTTAATCCTGTTCATATATCTAAAAATAAATTACTTTATTTTGGAAATACGTTCAGGTCACAAGTTTTCATTTCTCATTCATGATCAGAGAGGGTATTTCATAGTGTCTGGGATTTCATAATGCAAGATCTTGAGGGATTATTTTGTGAGATTGGGCTGGTCCTAATTTCATAGGGTGGTCTCTTACACTTCTTAAGGCACCCCCGGGGTAGGAGCTGGCTCGCCTCCGATCAGTCAGGGAACTGATGTCGGCTGGCTTACCGGTCATTGGTGAACAGGTGTTTTTCCAGGTAGCTTTCATCTGTTTCAGTCCAAGCTAGAAACATTCAAGCCGTATCCGGTTCCTCCTTCAAAATAAAATCTCCCCTCGGGAGGTGAAAACACACTTAGAGGCTTGGAGCCTCGAGTTGGAACCACCGACAGGCGTGCCGGGTCCCTGGCTGCGAAATCCTCCCTAATTAGCTCATGGGATCAGATTTTCAGCCAAAGCTGAGGTTCCTCCGGAGTTAATCCCAGCTGTCTTCCTAGGTTGGAATCAGGAAGAAGAGTGTATCACTCAAAGTCGTCCGGGTTAGTAAAAGAAACGGACGAACTTTGGTTCCGCCCTCAGGCTTAGAGATGAGTCACAGAAAGAAAGATAAAAGATTTGCCAGCCGGCRCCAGCCCAAGGTTAAAATTCTGTGGTTGTTCAACATCATGATATGATAACTTCTTTTCAGCTTTCTTCTGATAGACTAAGAGAAATCACCGCAAACATTTCTGTTTTATAATCAGCTCTGAACCTTCTGTTAGTCCAGATAAATGAAAGATTTTCTCAAGAAAGATCCACAATTATATTACTGTGTTCACAGTAAAATAAAAACGTTGATTTACATTAAAATACAATGAAAACATTGTAATCAGATTCTCTGTGATTTTTTATACCATTATTAATCTTTAAGGCACGATAAAAGAAAAGAAGTGGTTCCACTTTTCCTGTGACAGGCATTATCATGATTTAACAAATGCATAAACATTCTTAGTTAAACAACAAATGAATCACGAACAGAAGAGATTGTTCTGTCCATTATCTTATTAAGAGAACTGATGAGTTCTCTTCCAAGGTTAGAAATGACCTTTCATGGCCTAAATAGAGTTCAGTTTGTGACAGAGTTCCTGTCCTCTCTTCAGGCCTGTCCGAGGC